TTCCCATCCTACTTAAGGACCGCATCCCAGAAATCAGTTCGAGCACCCAGAAAAGTGTCAAAAGAGTGTCGAAGCAGTGTCGAAACAGTGTCGGGCGAGTGTCTCCCAGGGCCCGACATGTGAAAACCCTTGAGCTTCGGTACTTGTTTTGGCCGCTCGAAACTCTTCCTGGTGATCAGCGCTAAAGTATCGGGCGTTGGCAGAACTGGGTTTCGTGGAACCTGGTTTCGTGATCTGTACCAGGGGCGCCCCCCCGCCCCCTTCCCACGGACCGGAACTGCCGTCCCCCGAAAAGAACACCAACTATGGCAAACCTTGTTTAATGACTCTGGCCAATTTGGGGGCTCCAGGGCCCTGCCACTAACCGGCGCAAGGTTTCGATTGAAAAACGGCAGGGGGGGGAGGCGGAGGAGGCGGAGGAGGAGGAGGAGGAGGAGGAGGAGGAGGAGGAGGAGGAGGAGGAGGAGGAGGGATCGCCTTGCCTGGGGTCCTGGCGGTCAACGCCGAAGTAGGCTGGAGCACCATAGCCCTCCGCGCGTGGCCGAGCCTCGCCGAGAGCGCTCCATTCAAGTCGGGCCTGTCGCCCTGCAGGAGGATGTTCGACGAAAAATAAACAATACCAGAAAAATAACCCAAAAAGGTCAAACAATACTCCAATAATAATCCCCAGACTATTCTGTTTGACTATTTTTTTGCATATTTTGGGGGTATGGTTTAGTTTTCGTCGAAAATCCCCCTGTAGGGGGACATGCCCGACTTAAAAGTAGGTTGGAGCTTCGACGAAAAATAAAAATACCCCCCCAAAATACCCCCCAAAGGGGCAAAAATAATACTGCAAAAATAGTCCCCCGACTACTTTTGGACCATGTTTTTTTTGCATATTTTGGGGGTATGCTTTATTGTTCGTCGACCCCCCCCCCTGTAGGGGGGCACGCCCGACTGAAAAGCAGGCTGGAGCACCACAGCATCATAATAGCCCTCCGCGCGTGGCCGCGCCTCGCCGAAGGGCGCTCCACGGGATGCCCGGGGAGCCCCGGGCGGCCGCCGGAGGACCCCGCACCCCGTCGCGGGCCCCAGGGGGCCAGCACCCAGCGCGGATCGCCCCGGCGGGAATCGAGGGGCCCTGGGACACGTCCTCGTGAGGGATGTCGAATTTTAGCCCTCCCAGGGGTCGATCTTGGGCGCTCCAACGCGCCGCGGAACCCCCTGTCCAGGTCAGCGGGGAGGGGGTAGGGGGAGGGGTAAACCCCTCCCCGAAGGGGAAGAGGGAGGGGTGGAAGAGGAAACTCGTTAAACCACCGACGCCCAGAGGGCTGGTGGGACTCCAGATTTCGTGATAAAAGGGAGGGGGTCTGGACCCTCCAAGACAAGCCATTTCAGACCTCCCCCGTGGGAGAGAACCCTCCCAAACATCGTCCCCAGACCACCCAGGCCCTCCAAGATAGCCTGGAAGAGACCCCCCCCCGAAATGAGACCCCCCTCCCTTTATTACGAAATCTGGAGTACTTGCTTGATCCGCGGGTCGAGAGCGCACCTCTTCCGGTCGAAGCTAAGCGGGCCGCGCACAGCTTCCATTGACAGAGGGGGGGAAAGCAGAAGGAGGGGCCTCACGTCAAGGCCAGGAGAGGGCAAAGCCCCGGAATCAGGCGGTGCCGAAGACGATGTGCATGCAAAGGAACCCGCAAGTGCGCAAATAAATACACACAAATCACAGGATTCCCCATGCTTTCCCATGGTTTCTGGGTGTTTGTCTTCCCCCCAACTTCCCATATGTTCCTATATTTTCCAGGGAGTCGACGGTTCATTGTGTCTGTGCGTTTTTTCCCCTTGTGATTGAAGAGCACCGCAGGAAGACGTGGTCTATCCGCCACCGAGCCCCTGGCCCCCCAAGAGGCCCCAACACATACAGTACGTAGTCGGCGGCGAGCGAGCGAGGGAAAGTGAGAGGGCGAAGGTCTTCTCACAAGGCGGCGGGGCTCCTCAGGAGCCCTCGCGCCTGCTGAGAGGTGCCCTGCGTCCTCGGGGAAGGCGCAGCAAGCTTCTCAGTCAGAGGGCCCGGGGGACTTCCGAGCCTTCTGAGACGGCCTGCCCCCGGGGGGTCACCTCCCCCCCGGGGGTCGCCACCGACACGGGGCCCTCGTCGTGAGCTCTCGCGGTGTCGTGCTCCTCTGTTTGCCGCGCTGGAACTCCCGGCCAGCGGCGCGCGCGAGAGGGTGGCGCCTGGGGAGCGCTGGCTCGGGGCCATTGGCCGGTCAGCGTCCAGCGGGGCATCGGCTACACGCAGGAGTGACCCTGGGTAAGAGTGACCTCTGGTGCGCGGCTTTTGGGGGCCGCGGGGTGGCCAAACACAAGCGCGCAAGACGCCACTGCCGCCTCGAGATCAGGGATAGGGTGGCCCCATTGGGCCCGCACCAAAGGTCACTCCGGCGAAAGGTCACTCTTACGTCCCGTCGAGGGAAGTCGGGCCGAGTCGAGACGTGCGTCGGACCGGGCTGCCTCGGCACGGAGTCGAGATCGGAGCGGAGGGGCCGCGCCAAGATGCAGTGCGAGCATCTGTGGGAATCGGATCGGATCGGGCTGGCCAGAACGAGGGAGTGGCGCGAGGGAGGCGGTCTCTTGGGCAGGCGCGGGGGGGGCTTCTCAGGAGGCAGGGGGGCCTTCTTGGACGGGCCTGGGGGCTGCTCAGAAGGCTTCTCGGAAGCGGCCTTGCAAAGCTGCCCCCCCCTCGCCCTGCAAAGCTGCCCCCCTTCAAAGCCGCCCCTCAAAGCTGCCCCCCTCGAGGGGGCTTCTGAAGAGGGAACGGGCTTCTAAGGAGCCCATTCCCTCTTCAGAAGCCCCCTCGCCCTTCAAAGGCTGCCCCCCTCGCGCTACCCCCTTGCGCGCGCCGCAGAGCAATGACCTGGAATCGACGATGCATCCACGGCAGATCGGAGATGGGCCCTCGATGGGAATTTCCACGACTGGCCATCGCTCGGACGTCCATTCCCTGTGTTTTTGTTTTTGGTTTCGTGCGTGGTTTTTTCGCCAAAGGATCAAGGATGCTCCGAGCGATGCCAAAGCGACGGCCAGCGCTTCGCCACGTTGGCCCCCTGGAGGCTACAGGGGGATTTTCGACGAAAAATAAAACAATACCCCCAAAATAATCCAAAAATAATCCCCAAAAAGTCTGGGGACTATTTTTCGAGTGGCTTGGGCCCCCCCCCCCCGAAGGGACCAGGACGGAGAGCTGGCCCCAGGGGAGGGGTCGAGAGGTCCGGGGGGCGCACGCCTCGAGAAAGACTCGCGCCCCCAAAAATCTCTCTCTAGAGTTAGCATTAAGTCGGGCCTGTCCCCCTACAGGGGGGATCTGCGACGAAAAATAGGAAATACTCCAAAATACTCCCAGATAGTCAAACATACTCAACAAATAGTCCCCAGACTATTTTTCACTACCTAGGCTCTGCCTTACTCTCTGGGCTTAAAAGGGCCGGGCAGTGGAAAGCGCCCCGGGCGGTTCCCCCAGTATCCGCCCCGCGGTTCCCCCATATACGTCCCCTCAGCTTAGCGTTGCTGATCTCATCTTAGCTTAGCTTATGTCATCTTAGCCTAGCTTAGCTTCATCTTAGCTCAGGTTTATCTTAGCTTAGCTAACCTTCATCTTAGCTTCGCTGAGTTTTCGCATCGTTTGTTGTTTGTTCCATACCTAGGCCCTAGGCTCTGCCTAGAAGGGTTCTTACTCTCTTGGCTTAAAGGGCCGGGCAGTGGGAACCGGCCCGGGCGGTTCCCCCAGTATCCGCCCCGCGGTTCCCCCAGCTACGTCCCCTTAGCTTAGCGCTGCTTATCTCATCTTAGCTTAGCTTATTTCATCTTAGCTTAGCTTAGCTTCATCTTAGCTCAGGTGTATCTTAGCTTAGCTTACCTTCATCTTAGCTTCGCTGAGCTTTAGCATAGCAGAGCACAGCATAGCATCGCGTAGCATAGCATAGCGCAGCATAGCATATCATAGCATAGCCCAGCATAGCATAGCATAGCACAGCCTAGCATAACGTACCATAACATTGCCAACCATAGCATACCATAGCATCACATAGCGCAGCATAGCATAGCATAGCATAGCATAGCATAGCATCGCATAGCACAGCGCAGCATGACATATCATCGCCTAGCTTAGCATATCATAGCATCGCATATCATACCATATCATATCATAACATAACGCAGCATAACATATCATATCATAGCATAGCATAGCATAGCGCAGCATAGCATGGTATAGCATAGCATCGCATAGCAACTAATGCTGCTTTCCTAGGGACTCCAACTTCTAGGTAGGGTCGCACTGGGGTAAATTTTACTATTTTTGAATATTCCCCCTGTAGAGGGACAGGCCCGACTTAAAGTTAGCACGAAGGAGACGTGTCCTGAAAGATGTTCGACGTTTTCGGACCCCTGAGGGCCCTCGACGGGCTCGGGGGGTCGCCCGATAAGCAACTCAGGATGCAAGGCTGGTCCCGGGGAGAGCGTGCCTTCCTGGCGATCCAGGCCATCTCCCCCTGCAGCCGCACGGGCACCGCTCTTCACCTCCTCGCTCCTCCTCCTCCTCCTCCTCCTCCTCCTCCCTCCTCCTCCCTCCTCCTCCCTCCTCCTCCCTCCTCCTCCCTCCTCCTCCCTCCTCCCTCCTCTCTCCTCCCCCCTCCCTCCTCCCTCCTCCCTCCTCCTCCTCCTCCTCCTCCTCCTCCTCCTCCTCCTCCTCCTCCTCCTCCTCCTCCTCCTCCTTCTGGGCGCCGGGGTGGCCTGCGCGTCGCCGCGCCTGGACCCGCCTCGAGATCCCGGTCAGCACGCGCCCCACAGGATAGGTCTGGGCGCGTGTGCTGTTGAAGAGCTGCGCAGCTGCGCAGCCAGACGCCGCGAAGAGACATCACGATCGGCGCCTTCTGCTGATGGCTTCGGGTGGGGGGGCCCGAGGCCCGTTCCCGGGGGACCAAAACGGGGCACAAATACGAAAACTCGGAGATCCGCGCGGATTTCTCGGATCGGCGCTGGACCCCCCTCCCTGGCGCGCGGAGCGCGCCAGGGGCGGCGCCGGAGGCGCCGCCGGGGGGCCCCAACGCCGATCCGAGAAATCCGCGCGGACCTCCGAGTGTTCATGTTTATGCTACTTTTTGTTCCCCCTATGTTCCTGGGGGACCCTGAGGCCCCTCGGTGCAGCGGCCCGCGGAGCGAAAGGCCAGCCGATGCGGAGACGCTGGACCCAACTGGCGGGCGCCGCAGGCCTTGGCCCCCTCTCCCCTCGCAGCGGCGCGCGCACCGCCCCCATGCCGGGGGGGGGAAGAAGGAGTCGGGATGCCGGTGGAGAGCGGGACGAGGGAGGCAGGACGAGGACGGTGGATCGGGACGAGACGAGGAGCGGGACGAGGACGAGGACGAGGAGCGGGACGAGAGCGGGATCGGGGATGACGGTGGAGAGCGGGACGAGGATGAGGTGAGGCAGAGGCATTCGGCACCGCCTCCCTTCGTCCACTGCCGACTGCGGCCCTGCAATGTCCCTTCGCTCTGCACGCGCCCAACACCCGCTCGTTGCAAGAGGCTCCAACACATGGAGAGGAGTGCTCTGATGCGCACTCGCATGCGCTCGCTGGTCACCTCGGAATGCGAAAGCAGCGCTGACCAGATCACCACGCCCGCGCATCCCCAAGCTGCAAACATGCTGCGCATCACTTGGAAAAGAAGACCGCGCTGGCCTCGAGCACACCTTGACCTCCTCCACCGGCCAGAACCAGTGGATCTCTGCTAACCGTCAAGGTTGACTGGTCATGGCGCTCAGCGGAATTGCTGCTGTCAGGGACCGAAACCTCATCAGCAGTCGAAAATCTAGGAGTCGCTCTCTCAGGTCCAAGGACTTGACTGCCACATGGAGTTTTGAATTCCAATTCTGGAATGTTCCTCGCACTCTCATCAAGCGAATGCCCGAACAACGGCTGCCCATTCGGAGTCATGAACTCCACCCCTTCCGTGCTGACGACGCTGACGTCTGAAGAAAATCTGAGGACTGGCTGCGCCGCTTTGTGCGCAAAGCCAAAACTTCCAGACACAGCACTGTCCGTGACAGGTGGTGCACTGCATCTCTCGGAAGCGGCAGTGGAACACGCACTGTTGCTGACGAACTGACGGGCGCTCGGGCCCATCGCGTCGACACCACGAAGTGCTGCGTGCGGATGGACCGAGCTCGTCGTGGCTGGAGGCCGGCTTAATTCTCGCCCCCGTTCTTACTAGTAAGAGCTTGCCAGACGGCCAACGAAGGAGCGACTGACGAAGGCAGGAAGAGCCTCTCTGGATGGCTCCCGAAGGCGCCAAGACGGCCCTGGGCGCATCAAGACTGCCCCCAAAGAAACCCGAAAGACGCTCCTTGCGGGCCCTCCAGAAAGCTCCGGGACGCTCCAATAATCATTGCACAACCTTCCCCTCCCCCTCTCTCTCTGTCTGCTCCGTTTCCTCTTTCTCCTCCTCCCTCTTCTTCTAGTCTTCCGCGTCAACCTCACTCTCCTCCTTGTCATCCTCCTCGATCATTCGCACCTGATTCTTTCCATGTTCCACCAGATGGGCTCACGAAGCTACAAAGAACAAACCAACCCAGCTTGCTCAATAGCACCGTAGCACAATACTCAATCCATGCCGCGCGCAGTCGCGACCAGCACGTACAGTGGCACCCTCACAATGGAAACTCGGGGTCCTCCAGCCACCGCGGCCCCCGCCTCCTCTGGATTTGGGGCCCTCGATGTACTGGAACTTGTTGCAGGGGTTAAGCAGCCTCTTCCGCGCAAGCCCCCGTCCGCATCTTCCTCGGGCGCCCCGCCTCTGAATACCGGCACTGGTGCGTGCGAGGAGTCGGCCGCCAGGATGCTGCGCAAACCTGCGGGGAACGCACGGGCGACAATCAACGAGAACTGTTTCCAGGGCCAGGTGAGAGCCAGGCGGACTTCGCATATGGCGAATTGCTGGTACTGAGCATGGCGCTGGTGACGCTTGTGGTAGTGATGATGCTGCTGCTGATGATGATAATGATAATGATGATGATGATGATGATGATGATGATGATGATGATGATGGTGGTGGTGATGATGATGATGATGAAGATGATGATGCTGATGCTGATGATGACGATGATGATGATGATGATGATGATGATGATGATGATGATGCTGATGCTGATGCTGATGCTGATGCTGATGATGATGATGGTGGTGATGGTGATGGTGATGACGATGACGTTGGTGATTATGATATTACTGTGAAGGGAGCAGGAGGATCGGGTATGGAACCTCACTGGAGGCCACCGAGGCGGGCGCAGGCACAGGCGGGAGGGATCACAGACGAGCGCCCGGGGGAGCTGAGATGGAGCATAGGCGAGGGCCGAGAAGAGCAGCAGCGCGTGCGCCGCCAGCGGCAGGGGGAGCCCGGGCGGTTGCGTGATCAGCGCCTCCCAACCCAAAACAAAAAAAAAGGACTGCTGGTGGGGGGAAGGAGCACGCCACTCCTCGACAGACACCTGGCCCGACTCTTGGCCGCCGCGACCGCGGCGGCGACTTCCCAGGCCGACCCGACCAGGAGGTTTGGCTCGGGGCCGGATGTCGCGCAGCGACCTGACTACCTACCAGACCACCCCAACCCAACCCGAAGACCCGAATTTCGGGTTGGGGGGGGGGGTAAGGGTTTCCTCTGTGTTTTTTCAATGCTCCCCGACCCCCCCCCACTGGAAATGGAGGGCAAATTGAGGCCTTCGGGTTGGGATGGGGTGGTTTGGTAGGTGGTGACGACCAGCAGCCCGTGGGGCTCGGACAGCACTGCGAGCCTGGCCATCCGAGTGGCAGTCTTCCGCGGCACGCGCGGCGCGGCGAGCGCCCTCTGCTCGCGGGCGCGGCGCGCTCCAGGCGGAGCCGCCAGTGAACCCAAAGACAGACAGGTCGCACGCGACGAAGACGGGCGCCGCTGAGCGCGCCACGTCGCGCGCGGAACATGTTGAACCGTTGTAGGGGCCTATGAAGAGGGAGTTTGGAGGGAGGGTTCCTTCCAACATCGTGGATGACTCTTGCTTCACACTGGTCTCCTCCTCCTCTTCCCCCTCTCCTCGCCCCCTCCTCCTCGCCCTCCTCTCGCCCCCTCCTCGCCCCCTCCTCCTCCCCCTCCTCCTCCCCCTCCTCCTCGCGGCCCGTGTCGGGAGCCCTGAGCGAGGCGCCCCGGGGGCACCTCCGCCTGCCGCCGGCCTGCCGCCGGCCTGCCGCCGCCCTCCTCCCTTGCCGCCCTCGCCGCGCCGCCCTCTCCTTCTGCCCCCCGGCCCTTCTCGCTGTGCGGAAGGCACCGCTTCCGGCTCCGGCATCGCCCTATGGAGCCGTTCCGGGGGGTGCAAACCCAGCTATGGGGCCTCTTCAGGCAACTTGCCCAGAAGGATGTCGGATGCCTGCGCTGTGCAGAAGCACCGCTTCCGGCTCCGGCATCACCCTGGAACCGTTCCGGGGGGGTGCAAGCCCAGCTATGGGGCCTCTTCAGGCAACTTGCCCAGAACGGCCTGCCGCCGCCCTCCTTCTGGCCGCCCTCGCCGTGCCGCCCTCTCCTTCTGCTGCCCCCCGGCCCTTCGCTGTGCAGAACAGCACCGCTTCCGGCTCCGGCACCACCCTGGAACCGTTCCAGGGGGTGCAAGCCCAGCTGCGAGGCCTCTTCAGGCAATTTGCCCCGAAAGGGCCTTCTTGGGCTCCAAATGCAGAGGGCCCGATTGGGCCCCCTGCAGGGGGCATTCTTGGGCTCCTTGCAGAAGGCCTCCCTGTGCTGCTTATAGAGGGCCCCATTGGGCTCCTTGCAGAAGGCCTTACTGAGCTCCTTACAGAAGGCCTTCTTGGGCTCCCCACAGAAGGCCTCATTCGGCTTCTTGCAGAAGGCCTTATTCAGTTTCCTGCAGAAGGAAAGCCTTAGGCCTTAGGGCGCGCCGACGCGGCGAGGGTGCGCAGCCGCGAGAAACAGCCTCCCATATAATAGATCTCATATGCACAAAAATTTTGTTTGGGGCTAAGGTACACCCCTTCCCCTATCCCCGAAAGCGCCGTTGAGCAATGGAGGCCAGATTGATTTTCACCCTGGAACGCGACTGGGCGGGAGGGCCCAGCCGCGAGAAAAAAACTCCCCAATCAGAAATCTCATGCGGAAGAATGTAAGTTTTGGAGCTCGGGTACATCCCACCCCCAACCCCGAGAGCGCTCTTTTGCACTGCGGGGAGCTCCAGACGGATTTGAACCCTGGAACGGTTCTGGGGTGAAAATCCATCTGAGCACTCCCGACGCTGGGCGGGGGGGCACAGCCGCGAGAAAAATGCTCCCCAATAAAAATTCCATTTGGAAATGACCATTTGGGGAGCTCGGGCACACGTATCCCCGACAGCGCTGTTTTGCACTGGGAGGGGTCCCACATGGATTTTCACCCTGACACGGTTCTGGGGTGTAAATCCATTTGGGAGGTCCCGAACCTGAGCGGGAGGGCCCAGCCGCAAGAAAAAGGCCCCCCAACAAGAGATTCCATCTGGAAAATTACTATTTTTGAGGCTCTGGCAAATTCTCTCCCATATTTCCGAGAGCGCTGTTTTGCACTGGGGGGGGTCCAAGATGGAATTTCACGCTGGAGCGGTTCTGGGTTTAAAATCCATCTGGGCGCTCCCGACACTGGGCGGAGGGCCCAGCCGCGAGAAAAAGGCTCTTCAATAAGAGATTTCATTTGGGAAATGACAATTTTCGGCGCTCGGGTACACTCCCCCATCCCCGAGAGCGCCGTTTTGCATTGAGAGGGGTCCCGAACGCATTTTCACCCAGGAGCGGTTACCGGGGTGAAAATCCATCTGGGCGTTCCCGACACTGGGCGGGAGGGCCCTCTCCAATGCGAGATTCCATTTGAAAGAAAACAAATTTTTGGGGCTCGGGTACACCCCCGTTGACGGCGAGCAAGCCCGACACTTCCAGCCTGCGGCGGTTTCTCTGACCTGTGAGTGTTTGCTGCCAACTGCTGCAGGTGTCTGCCGCCTGGTTTCCTTGCGCAGCTGGTCATGATCTTCCCAAGACGTTGGCGGCCTTCGCTCCATTGCGTCCATCGTGGCTTGGGTGGTACGCTGCCTGACTAGCTGGCCGACTGCTCCGACCCACTCGTGGCAGCTAAGCTGCGCTGCTGGAATAGCGTGTTCGTCAGCTGCACGGTCGGCTCGCTGGTCTGCTTCCCTGTTGCCAACCCTTGCAACTTGTGGAACGCTGTGCTCGAAGGACTCCTCAGGGCTAAGGCGGCTCCTCATGCGCATGGCCACGGTGCCTAGATGATCCCTTCCGCGTTGTTGGAGTGCGTGTTTGATGCGACGCCAAATGTTGCCATTGCCTCTGGTATAACGCTTGACCATATACCTCTGTTTGTACCAAACTCGGCATACAACTTCATATTCACTCAATTAACTAATCTTGCCAACAGACTGCGGCAAACTATTTAGCAGTACCCGCAGCTCGGCCCTGTTGTTGGTCTGTCGGGGCCCTGAGAGAGGGAAGGCCTCGTGGTGCTGCTCCGACTTGTTTGCCACACATGAAGGCCCAACCCCATCCGCATCTTCTGTACCGCCTGCCACTGGGTATAGCTCCTCCGCTGCCGTCTCAACAGAAGTGCAAGGGTTGGGCGTGCACATAATGCACAGTATCCGTCGGCATGGTTTCCAAGATCTCCGTTGGCTCCGTGTCGCAGGCTGATGGGTACGTCATCGGCTTGGGCGTGATGCCTCTTAACCAACATGCTGCGTTGGTATCTAGTCCTTCTTTAGCTCTATCACGTAGGCGGTCCGTACGCTGGTAGATGATGTGTTCCTTCCTGCTTGGGCATTCTTCCCAAATGCGATAATAACGATCTTCCACGGCTCCGCATTCGCATGGGTTGCTTGTGCCATATGCCTCTGCCTTCCATGGATGTGACAATGTGCCTGCGCATACTGCCGAGAGTAATGCTCCATGCCTGTGGTACTTGCGTTCCCTTTCTAGCCCTCTGATGTGCCTGACGAGGTCATCAACGTCCGCTCCATGCTCCAGCCTGCTGCCGCTGTGATTTAGGCTGGCTTTCTTCCAGCGTCGTAATGCCACCTGGTTGGCTACCATGTCGATCACATCCGTCGGGTCGCCGGCCGCATCCTCAGGTTTCAAGGGGGGCCCGAAAACCAAGAGGGATGGGGGTGCTCAGTGTCCAATTTCGTAGGAAATGGATGGGGTGGACAGGGAGGGAGGGAGGGTGGGAGGAGGAGGATGGGGAAGAGGAGGAGGAGGAGGAGGAGGAGGAGGAGGAGGAGGAGGAGGAGGAGGAGGAGGAGGAGGAGGAGGAGGAGGAGGAGGAGGTGCAGGAGGAGGAGGAGGATGAGAAGGAGGACAAATGCCATTCGTCTCCTGCAGGGTCGAACCGTCGGTCAGCTTCACGAGGGTCCCAGTCCCGCTCCCACAGGAGCAGAATCAGCGATCCCGTGCTACCTCTTTCGGCCTGCCAGAGCATCTGCTTATCTTGCTTCATGAGGTTGCTATTGATGAGAGGAGGAGGAGGAGGAGGAGGAGG